CCGGGATGAGATAAAGCAAAACGGACGGCGTCTTCAAGCGGAAAAGGAACCGCAACTAGCGACGACGGGCTTGTGGAATCCATAGATAAAACTCTAAGTTTTTTAGAAAGAAAATACGAATCGACGGAGGAATCTCGTCGCTAAAAAATCGTTGTTACCGATCTTCAAATCATAAACACAAAGTCCCAACCCGATTTCGACCCGGAAAATCTCACGACATTTCTCATAATCCAACAACAAGTCCACGATAAATATGGAAAGTAGGTTCTAATATTTATATTTTAGTTGGTATGTTTTATGTTTTTTTTAAGTAATTTAGGATAAATAAGTAATTTATGATTTTTTTTTTATGTTTTTTTTAATAATTTAGGATTTTTTTATTTATGTTTTTTAAGTATTTTAGGATTTAAATATGTGTGTTTTAAAACTAATGTAATGTGGTTTAATTTAATTTGTGTTTTTATTTGAATTATTTTTTAAATTTAATCTAATAATGTCAAAAAGAATAAAAAATAAAAACAAAAATGATGTGGAGTGGTAACCATTTCTAAGGGTTAGTAGTTTGATAGTGGGTTTGTGGGAAAATGACTCTTAAGGGTAATTAACTGTTGCGTTGTTCTCATTTGGTCCCTTTCCTTTTTTTTGTGCTCAATATACCATCGAACTTGTTGTTTGTGTTTACCATAACCCTTTTGACCGGCTTTTGACCTGTGATAGCCGGTCAAAGGGTTATGGTGAACACAAACAATAAGTTCGATGGTATATTAAGTACAAAAAAAAGGAAATGGACCAAATGAAAACAAACTCAACAGTTGGTTACCCTCCTAAGTCATTTTTCCCAAAAAGTTAAATGAAATTAAAGTTGTAAAATTATCAAAGACTGCAACCTTTTTTGGCCATAACGTACATGAAAATCGTTTCGGAGGGGTAGATTCGTTAAAATATGGTATATGCTATGCTTACTGTGGTTAGCTGTCAACACCTCTCTGCAAAAGGATATGACTGTGTATGAGAGATATATTTATCAGCATAAACGTTTACCTCAAGGTATATTATGATGATGTGTCTGCAAAAGTTGCATGATATTATACATATTGATGTTGTATCTTATCCCATGAATTAGATCTTAAAGCCAAGTAAACAAAAAGATCACTAACACTTGTGATTCCACTCGTTTTTAGACTTGTCTAAAATCCATGATACGATAAATCATTTGATTGGAAACGTAAATGCAGTCATGAAATGCACCTGCTTAGTCAAGATTCCCCTAATAAATATTCAAGTGCATTACAAAATTATACATGTATGAATAATGTTCTTTCGTGGGTTATGTTTTGAAGAGAAACAATAATGAATCTCATAAAGTCATTAATATGAGCAGGAGATGACGTGAGATTTACTATAAATGAGTAAAGGAAAAATGACTCAGGAGGGTAACCAACTGTTGAGTTTGTCCTCATTTGGTACCTTTCCTTTTTTTTGTCCTCAATATATTATCGAACTTGTTGTTTGTGTTCACCATAACCCTTTGACCGACTATCACAGGTCAAAATCCTGTCAAAAGGAAATATAAGATCTGTTTTTTTTTTTTTTTCTCTTTATAGGATTAGGGTTAATGTCATAAAAACCCTCAAGTTTACAGGGTTTTGTCGGTTTTGCCCAAAGTTGAAATTTATGTCCGTTTTTACCCAAACATTTTCGAAAAAATGTTCGATTTTACCCTTTTACCGGTGATAACAGGTTTTTCAGGTTACCATTATATTAAATTCGCAAAAAAAAACCCTTAAGTTTACCTTTTTTTGCGTTTTTACCCTTAAGTTTATAATTTTTTTTACACTTTTACCCTAAGTATATTTTTTCATAATATACATATTTATGCAGAAAAATCGTATTTATATACGAAAAAATATTTAATTAAATATTGTATTTATATATTTTTTTAATGTATATATATATATATATATATATATATATATATATATATATATATATATTTGTTTGTTTGTTTGTGTGTGTTTGTGTTTTTAGAATTATGAATATGTGTTTTATAGATATAGTTTTTAGAAGTATAAATACATATTTTTACATTTTTATATATTAATATGTATCTATACTTCTAAAAATATATTTATACTTTAAAAAAACATATATCAAAATACATATTTACACTTCTAAAAATATATGTATATACTTATATAAACATGTTTATGAATGAACAAGTTTTTTTTTATTGATATGTATATTTTTAAATACATAAAAATACGTATTTGTAGTTCTAAAAACATATTAAATTGTTTTTTTTACATCTTAAATGGTTTATCCAAGAAAAAAAAATCCATACACACACACACACACACACACATATATATATATATATATATATATATATATAAAGAATTAACATTAAAAAATGTAAATACAATATTTAATTAAATTTTTTTCGTTTATAAATATGATTTTTCTGCTTGAATACGTATAATATGAAAAAAAATACATAGGGTAAAAGTGTTAAAAAATTATAAACTTAAGGGTAAAAACGTAAAAGAACTGTAAATTTAAGGGTTTTTTTGCGAAGTTAATATAATGGTAACCTGTTATCACCGGTAAAAGGGTAAAACCGAACATTTTTTGGAAAATGTTAGGGTAAAAACGGATATAAAATTCAATTTTGGGCAAAACCGATAAAACCCTGAAAACTTGAGGGTTTTTATGACATTAGCCCATAGGATTATGGTAATTTACTGATGTAAAACCTACAAAACCCTGAAAACTTGAGGGCAAAAACCTATGTAAAACAGGTCCACCTGGCGTAGAAATGGAGCGGTGTTGCTGATGCGAGTAATATTATACGTAATAATTCAACAGAGCCAACTAGTCGTTGAATTTATCATCTTCTACAGCACACATAAAAGCAAAGATTCATCATTCACACAAACATATGTTCCAAGACAACCATAGAGAGAGAGAGAGAGAGAAACAGATTCAGCAAATTTTGGTCTCAAGTCACAATCACCACCGATTAACATCAGCTCCAGATCCAAAGTTTGGTCTCAAGAAACCAACTTTCAAGTTTCAAAAGAGTATTTCCACGATTGAGCTCAGATTGCTTCATCTTCATGGTAGATATTGACTAACTTATTGTTATTAATGATTCCAGGTAAACATTCTTCAAGTATGGAACAAAATTCATCTGCTTTATCTCTTATGTTATCGATTGTCTTCGGTTTTTAACTTTTTACGGTTTGTTCGACTTGATTTATACCGAATTAGGTTTTTGGTTGTTCAGTAGTGGTTTAACTTTGGTATAGTTCCTAATTTGGTAGTTCGATTCGTGCTTCTTCCTTAGTTCTAACTATGAATCAAATGTAAAGCTTAGTTTATGATAATTAAGAAAGTTTGGGAGCCTAGATTCAAGATTATACGATGTCAAACTGAATTTCGCTTCAATTCCAAGCTGTTCGACTTGGGTTCCCAAATTTAAGATTAGGGTTTTTAGTTTGTCAAGATTCCACCTTTTGAATCATAGTTTTTCTCTACAATCTATTACCAAAAGAGGGAAAAAAAACCAAATCTTTCCTTGATCTTACAACAATCCATCATCCCAAACAAGAAAAAATCTTGTATTAGGTTGCATTTTCTTAACTGAAGCATTATTTTGAAGGTTAAATGGAGAACAAAATGAGGATGAGGAACAAATACCGGAAACCAACCACTTTACATTGCTATGCAGGAAGCAGATATAGCAAGTTATCAATCGTGGTATGCAGCCTCATAGGATGCCTAATTATGTTCCACTTCTACTTCTTGAATCAAAGTCAACAAAGTCAAACTGGAGTTCCTCAAATGCAATCAAATTATCATCCCATTATATCGTGAACTCATAGAAGTTGAAGATGACACCATTAAAATCCCACCACCAAGGAAAAGATCACCACGTGCTATAAAACGAAAACCTAAAAGGCCAACCACTTTGATTGAAGAGTTTCTTGATGAATCTTCTCAACTTAGATATTTATTCTTTCCTGGTGTAAAAACAGCCATTGATCCGATGAAAGATGGTGGAAATGAGAGTTTTTATTATCATCCTGGAAGGATTTGGTTGGAACTGATGGGAATCTATTCAAGCTCATGGAGGTGGGATTCTAATGATGATAGATCATCAATGTACTATTGGTATGAATATAAAGATGGCCCCTTATCATGCTCACAAAAAGGCTGCAGCCCGGGTTAGTATTGTAAAATTTGTCGATTCTTTTATCTATTTGTCTTTTTGAGGTTAGCTTAATGTATTAAGACACTAGCCCTTTACCTATTTGTCTTTTGCCTCTTTCCTCTCAATTTGTCTGACGTTAAAATTGATAAATATTGTTGAAATTGACGAATATTAAGAAATTTGTTTGTCATAATGTAAGGGTAAAATTGTCATTTGGTCTCATTTAGACGGTTTATTCCGTTTAGAAAAGAAACAAACCTTATGCAAACGTGACCTACTTTGATGTTGTAGTTCATAGTTCCATTCCCATCAATTTGATTCCAAGTTTTCGTTTATTATTATCTAAACGGTTTGTTCGACTTGATTTATACCGAATTAGGTTTTTGGTTGTTCAGTAGTGGTTTAACTTTGGTATAGTTCCTAATTTGGTAGTTCGATTCGTGCTTCTTCCTTAGTTCTAACTATGAATCAAATGTAAAGCTTAGTTTATGATAATTAAGAAAGTTTGGGAGCCTAGATTCAAGATTATACGATGTCAAACTGAATTTCGCTTCAATTCCAAGCTGTTCGACTTGGGTTCCCAAATTTAAGATTAGGGTTTTTAGTTTGTCAAGATTCCACCTTTTGAATCATAGTTTTTCTCTACAATCTATTACCAAAAGAGGGAAAAAAAACCAAATCTTTCCTTGATCTTACAACAATCCATCATCCCAAACAAGAAAAAATCTTGTATTAGGTTGCATTTTCTTAACTGAAGCATTATTTTGAAGGTTAAATGGAGAACAAAATGAGGATGAGGAACAAATACCGGAAACCAACCACTTTACATTGCTATGCAGGAAGCAGATATAGCAAGTTATCAATCGTGGTATGCAGCCTCATAGGATGCCTAATTATGTTCCACTTCTACTTCTTGAATCAAAGTCAACAAAGTCAAACTGGAGTTCCTCAAATGCAATCAAATTATCATCCATTATATCGTGAACTCATAGAAGTTGAAGATGACACCATTAAAATCCCACCACCAAGGAAAAGATCACCACGTGCTATAAAACGAAAACCTAAAAAGGCCAACCACTTTGATTGAAGAGTTTCTTGATGAATCTTCTCAACTTAGATATTTATTCTTTCCTGGTGTAAAAACAGCCATTGATCCGATGAAAGATGGTGGAAATGAGAGTTTTTATTATCATCCTGGAAGGATTTGGTTGGATACTGATGGGAATCCTATTCAAGCTCATGGAGGTGGGATTCTATATGATGATAGATCATCAATGTACTATTGGTATGGCGAATATAAAGATGGGCCCACTTATCATGCTCACAAAAAGGCTGCAGCCCGGGTTAGTATTGTAAAATTTGTCGATTCTTTTATCTATTTGTCTTTTTGAGGTTAGCTTAATGTATTAAGACACTAGGCCCTTTACCTATTTGTCTTTTGCCTCTTTCCTCTCAATTTGTCTGACGTTAAAATTGATAAATATTGTTGAAATTGACGAATATTAAGAAATTTGTTTGTCATAATGTAAGGGTAAAATTGTCATTTGGTCTCATTTAGACGGTTTATTCCGTTTAGAAAAGAAACAAACCTTATGCAAACGTGACCTACTTTGATGTTGTAGTTCATAGTTCCATTCCCATCAATTTGATTCCAAGTTTTCGTTTATTATTATCTAATAATTATTTATTAATTAAATTATAAATATACTAATATTCTAACAATACAAGTTCAATTTTGATTGTAGGTTGACATCATAGGAGTAGGTTGCTATTCTTCGAAAGATCTCTGGAAATGGAAAAAAGAGGGAATCGTTCTACCCGCCGAACAAACAGACGAAACTCACGATCTCCACATTTCCAACGTTTTAGAACGCCCAAAAGTAATCTACAACCAAAACACAAACAAATACATAATGTGGATGCACATCGACGACACCAACTACACCAAAGCCGCAGTCGGAATCGCCGTTTCCGATTCCCCCACCGGCCCCTTCACCTACATCAAATCCACCCGACCGCACGATTCCGATTCCCGCGACATGACAATCTTCAAAGACGATGATAACACCGCGTATTTAATATATTCTTCAGACGACAACTCCGAGCTGCACATCGGGCCCCTCACAGAGGACTACCTCGATGTGACACCCGTCGTCAGACGGGTGCTGGTGGGCCAGCACCGCGAAGCGCCAGCCCTTTTCAAACACGAAGGGACCTATTACATGGTCACTTCGGGTTGTACGGGGGCTGGGCTCCAAATGAGGCGCTGGCCCACGCTGCTGAGAATATTATGGGGCCGTGGGAGACTATGGGGAACCCGTGTGTCGGGGGTAATAAGGTCTTTCGACTTACGACTTTTTTTGCGCAAAGTACGTTTGTGTTTCCGTTACGCGGGTTTCCGGGTGTTTTTGTGTTTATGGCGGATAGATGGAATCCGGCGGATTTGAGGGATTCAAGATACGTGTGGTTGCCTTTGTTGGTTGGTGGACCCGTTGACAGACCGCTTGATTATTCGTTTGGGTTCCCGTTGTGGCCACGGGTTTCAGTTTATTGGCATAAGAGATGGAGACTTCCGTATAAATTGAGTGGGAGGAAATGATTTTTTTTTTTTTAAAATTTACGGGTATACGGAGTGTTTGTACATTATATATATACTGGTGGAAGTATGTATTGTTGTGTATGAGTGTGTGTAATTAGAGAAATAATGATGAGCATGTTAGATTATGGGAACAAGGTATTTGTTAGGGAGTCTAGTTTAACAGAAAACCAATTTATATGACAAAAACCACAAAATCATATGAACATGACAGATGAGACGTAAGGTATGTTATGTGTGAATATATGCATCGCACTAATATATGATTATATGTTCAAATATAAACATGTATGATTATGTGGTTTGGTGGTATAACTTTACTTGCCCATGTTTGGAACATACCCTTGAGGCCCCAATGTTAGTGTTACCATAAGAAAAACATGGGTTGATATACTATTTTTGGATTAATGCGATAAATGAGGAACGGATATATGTTCTTTTGATAAAATATCATCTTAAAAAAAAAGTACTATAAAGCTCAGGAAAACGATCATTTTGTTTATAAAACACCACTATAACGGTATAACCCGTAAAAATAAGATTTTTGTGAACAAAATGTTCTTTTTCAACCTATTGGAATCTTTGTAAGTTGTTAGTTTTCCTTCTCATGACATGCTATTAGAGACAACGACTAACCATGAGATATTTGTCGATATTTAGACTTTCACCTTCTTCACGATCAGGTATATTTTATGGTTATATATGAGGCTCGTTATCTAAGGTGAAATTAACTCGCATACTTTTCACACGATTTCTTTAATTTTGTGATCCTGTTTTCTGTCTAATCTAGGCATGGGATCAACACAAATAAGACTACCGATTCATGAGCTCATTTGTATCTATTTATATACCATCATGGAAGTAGTGTAGTCTTACATATGCTCATTTCCAATCATTGGTTTCTCAACAACAAGCGTATCATTATTAATAGCATCCACCACAAGTATTTTGCATTATCTTTCATTTAGTGATAAGCAAACAAGCAACTTAAAAATATCATAATACGATCAAGAATAATATGAAGTATTCAATAGCTTGACACACATACTTGCCCGACATGATGTCTTATTGAGAAAGCAAACAAGCAGCTTATAAAGATCCTAATAAGTTAAAAACATTGCCTCTAAGATGGTCATCTATAAGAATGTCGTCACAACACTCATCTGAAATGCCAATAGGTATTTTAGGGATTTTGAGTGTTTAGTATAAGATGATGAAGGCCCCAATAATATCGGCACCTTATCATTTTTCAAATTTATACAATACTTATGCGCGGAGAGACTTGTATCCCCACTTCTCATTGTTATACCGACCGAGGGAGTCTATATTTACAGTTATAGTATTATTACACTGCTTATTTGCTTGTTGTATGTAATGTTATGTTACAATTCATTCTATAGAAATCTATCATGTATTAAATTAAAAGGTTTATGAATTTAAGTAACTTGTTTATTGGTAAATAATGAACCAACACTACACCTACATTAGAGAACAATAGCATTACATTAGCAAGATGGTTGTTAGCATTACATAAACATAATTTTTTATTGTTTTTAGCATGTTTTGTGGCCACATTTTTCAATGGATTAAACCTTAGTGTTTCTTAATCAACATTCTTTAGAGCATTATGGTTTTCCTTGAAGGGCTTCTCTTCCCTAAATGTTTCTTAGTAGCGATTCTTTACAACATTATGGTTTCTCTATGAGGGTTTCTCCTCCTTCACGTTTGAAAAGCATTATAAATTGTATATTTTATGTGATAATAACATACTCATGTGTTGATGTATGAAAACACAATCGAATCGAGATCATTAACGACTGATCAACAATTCAAAGCACCCCAACAACCATTGCATCGAGATCATTAACGACTGATCAACAATTCAAAGCACCCCAACAACCATTGCAATAATCAGACAAACTCTACAAATATGATCTAAAAAACCCTTAAATAGATGGAAATAGATGCCCTCGCGAGCATTGAACGACTAGAAAATATAACTTTGGTGTGCATAGTTGAAGATTAGGCCAGAAACGAGCATAGCACTAGTACTCATGAGGAAAATGGTTTCTTGCGAACAAGTATCGAGCTTTGTAAGTTATTTCTTAAAGTTCAAAGAAATATAACTGTGTAGCAATATAAAATCTCTTAGTATATTATTTTAGCCGATAACTCATTATTAAATTAAATATAAGGTAAAACTGACAGTTAAGTCTACGGTTGCCAAAAATACATTTAACCACTAATTATCCTTTTTAATTTCATTCCATGTCCGACCCAAACCCGATTTCCGGAATGCACTCTTTAACCCATTCATTACACGCTTCCCGAAACGCCTGGGACTCCCTTGATCACTCGAATGATCCGACCCATTTTCCATATCCACAGCCCGAAAACTACCCGAAGAAACCGACCCTCTTTGCCCTCTCTCTACCCTCCTCTCAGTCTCGGAGCTAAACCGGAAACTCTCGGACTTAACCCGATCCGTAATTTGACCCGTATCCGATTTGTTCAGGATCTTTCTCATCCCATTAAGCTCTTCTTCCAAGCTTTGAATACGGATGCTCGTGTAGTCCATGGTGGCTTTCAGGTGCGCAACTTGGCGTCGCGCGGCGTCGCGTTGGAGTATGGCGCCGAGGGTGACGGTGGTGGCGCCGGCGGCCGGTTGTTTTATAGGGTGGTGTTGGTTTTTGAGAGTTTTGGCGGCGGAGAAAACGGAACGACGAGTGTTTAGTTGCTCGATAAACATAGCTTGAACCACGAATCTTAATGGCATTCTAGGGTTTTGAACTGCGTGCATCAGGATTTGAGAAGATAGATTTGAACAGTCGATGTAATTACAGATCTTGCTTCCTTCTTCCTCCGTCATCTTCCCGCCTTCTTCCTGAATTCAAAATTGTTACAGAGATCGAAAGATGAAATCTATTTGACTATTTCCATTGATAGATAATATCACCTTGAAATAGAAGTCGATGATTCTATAAAGAAGATCATGACTACCGGCGACCTTCTGGTGCAAAGCCCCGACGACTAACAGGAACTCTTCGCCGGACAACTCCTGAACGCCATCAAACCAATTAAAAACATCACCGGCGCCGACGTCTCGATTTATCCTCAAAGCCTCTATACACTTGCTTAAAAGCCCTGTTCTCGTCTCTACCTCCGGCAAAAGTTCAATGCATGACTTTAACACCACCGTCGCGTAATCACGATCAACGGCCACTGCCCGGTAAAAGTAAGTCTCCGTCTTCCGCCGGAGATTCTCAACGGTGTCTGAACCATCAGTCATTTCGAGCAAGTCTGAGGCAAGTAAAAGAGAAGCGAGGTTGAACGGTGTAATGAAGAGGTTGCCACCGTAGCAGTAGTCGACGACGAGAGTAAATGTGTGAGGCGTTATCTTTAACGCCGGCGAAAGAGACACTTCGGAGGACTCCGTTAATTGCCGTTTCAGATATCTACTGCATTGCGTCAGAGGATCCTATGTGTAACATAAAAATTACAAATAATTATTCATAAATGAGACCATTATTGCATTAAATGTTAAGGTTACAAAATTTATTACATTCTTATACTCCAAAACATGTAATGAAAAATAATTAAATATCAAATATATTATTAGCATCAAAGCACAAATAATTATTTATGAATTTAGTCTGGTATATAAATGATTATTGATATTTTATATCAACTTTTTGTGCAGGCTAATAAATGTAAAAGAATATATTAGTTGTTTATTAATTAAAGAATATATGGCAAAAAGAGTGTGATCTCAATGTGTAATCCATACGTTATCTTTTCAGAGTAAGTTTATTGGTTCTTTTTCATACTAACATAATTGAAATTTTGAAATAAACAATTGATATAAGTACATAAAAATATATTGTTATAACATTTGAAACAAACAATTGATATGAGTACATATATTTATTTAGGCCAAGATTTGTACATAATATTTCTAATCATACATAACAATTGTTATGTTTTATATAGTTATAGAGTGAAATCCTTTAAAACATAAGTTGTATAATGCAACTATTTAGAACATAAACATATCACTAAAATATTGTTGCATATAAATCACTCCCTATTTAGTTACCTTGTGTAAGTGAAAAGTTGACCCTTGAACATGTACAATCACATTGGGTTCAACTCCATTATTGAAGGACCTAAAGCATAAGAATAAATAATAATGATTGCGTACATGTTGTACGTAATAATTATCTAACTGGGATGTAACTTAATTTTTTTAGCTCTCACTTTGAAAGATGTTTGTATCAGTGATTAAGTAGATTATAAGATGACATAAATTCTTTTATATATATATATATATATATATATATATATATATATATATATATATAGATATATATATATATATAAATCATGAAAGTCATGGAGAATTTTGAATTGTAATGAAATACATTACTTTTTGCAAAAACTTTTTTTTTTGAGAGATCGGTAATCTTAGAATTTTGTAGTATTTGAATAGCATAATCTTTAAAAAAATTTATTTGTTAGAGATGCAATCGTGTTTTTAACTACAACCTTCTTGGGTTTATACTTTATATTTCAACCAAAAATTTTAATATTCTTTCTATTAAGGTTGTTTATAACTTTATATTTGTTGGGTCAAAAATATGGTTTATACTTTGCTTTTCTAGGAAAATATATTTTTCTATAATGTAATATGTAATTTTGTGGCTGTGTACGGCCGCACACCTGTGTACGGCCGTACACGGGTGTACGGCTGGTGTCTCATATATATAGGATGAGGAGTGCATGCAAGTGTACGGCCAGAAGAGAGAGATAAGAGAGCATATTGTAGAGAGAGAAACTAGAGAGAAGAAGAGTGTGTGTGTAAGTGTGTGTGAATCTTGTATTTGGATCTACATTCTAATCATCAAATAATACAAGATTCATCATCTTCTTCTTCTCCTTCTCTTCTTCATTTGATCTGGCATCATCCGTTTGATCGGGATTCCGCACCATCAAACGGATCTGATTGATATACGAGCAGATCAGGGACTTACAATTCATCAAAAAAAGAAATGAGTTCCGCAAGCAAGAGAAGAGAGCATATTGTAGAGAGAGAAACTAGAGAGAAGAAGAGTGTATGTTAGTGTGTGTGAATCTTGTATTTGGATCTCCATTCTAATCATCAAATAATACAAGATTCATCATCTTCTTCTTCTCTTTCTCTTCTTCATTTGATCTGGCATAATCCGTTTGATCGGGATTCCGCACCATCAAACGGATCTGATTGATACACGAGCAGATCAGGGATTCACAAGTGGTATCAGAGCTTGGATTGTATCAATCAATTTTGTCAGATCTGAAGCTTATTTGATCTTATTTAGAAAGGGTTTTTGCGTTTTTGGATAGATCCGGGCAAAATAAGGGGGGTTTGTTCTTTGCATTTTTGATAAAAACGAGTTTTGGAGCAAAAATGGTGAAAAACGTCGTTTTTTTCGCGATCTAATTGAAGGTGTGCGGCTAGTTGAAGGTGTACTGCCGCGGAGTGTGCGGTCCTCGGAGGAGTGTGCGGCTCGGTGTGCGACTAGCAGCCTCGTCCTCGGTCTCGCATCTCATTCAGCAAGCTTCGCAACAGTCTTCACACTCAGCAACCTCGCACGAGCTTCAGAAAAAAAAATAGGAATCGATTTTGGGAGTGTCGGGGATCGAACCCCTGGTCTCTTCCCAACTCAGCCACACGCCTTACCAACTCCTCTAGCTTCCGTGTTGTTCCATTACTTCCGTTTTTACTTCTTAAAGACTCGCTTTCTCGGTTCCTTTTTCGCATTTTTGACATTTTTTACCCCAAAATCAATTTTTTTATTTTTAAAATCCTTTTTCAACCCAAAAATTTTAGATTTTAATTTTGATTTTTTACTTAAAATTTTGACTTTGACTTTAAAGTTTGACCTTTGACTTTAAATTTTGACTTTCTCGTTTGTCTTTTAAATTTTCAAATTTAGCTTTTCGGTTTGACTTTTAAGTTTGATTTTTTAAATTTGAATTTTAAGGTTGACTTTCTCGTTTTGTTTTTAAGTCAAAGGGCAATTAAAAAAAAAAAAAAGAGTTCCGCATCAATTCCGGTAAATGAAGTTTCATGTACTCCATCTTGTGAAACTACTATTAAATTTCTCCGAGATCAAATTGATTTGCTAAAAAGAAAAAAAATGAGGACCTTAAATATGAAGGATATACTCTTAGGAAAGGTCAGAAACCATTAAAAGCACAATTAGAAGCCAAAATCTAGGATTTCCGAAAGCTCCAAGAAGATTACAGCAACAAGTGTGAAAATTACGATTACATTAAGAAACAACTTGCTGCTGTAACTGAAGAACTTGACGCTTTGAAAATTAAGTGTGGAAAAACAGATGTTAGTTTCAAAAAATTATACTGCGTCAAGTAAGACAGTCGAGTCCTTATTTGAAAACCAATTAAAATTCAAAGATAATCAAAACAAGGGTCTAGGGTATGATAGTGTTCATCCCCCTTTCAATCATAACTATATATCCATCCTTATGACACAGGAAGAAATTGATAGGGAGACACATCTTCAATATGGGAAACCTGCTGTGGTTGTGCCAGAAAAGGTTGAGGTGAACGTTTCTAATGATTCTGTTACATGTGCAGGTAAAGTAGCGGAAGATGAGATCAAGGAGAACACCATTGAACAAACCAATGTCTCCTTGAACTCTGAATATTTTGCTTCGAACTCAGTTGCTTCTGATCAACCTGCTGTTAAGAAATACAGGCCTCCAAAACAAGCAAAATCGACGGCTTGCTGTAAGTGTGCATGTGGGAACAACCAGAGACAAGGCAAGGATACGCCACCAGGGGCAGGAAGAAACAACTTCACAGTGAAGAAAAAGACATGTTTTCACTGTGGAACACCTGGACACATTGCCAGAAATTGTCCTAATTGCGCATATGTTCCCTACTATGCACAAGGCTGGCAGAACGCGCCAAGAGGGAGATACTCTAAAAGAAACCCCTCAAGGTCACGTTCAGACATGGTGACTGGAACGCGCAGAAGGCCAAGAATCAAACCCACAAGGCCAAGAATCTGAATCCCAAGGGCAAGAAGGGAATGTCGGCCAAGAAGCCTAATCCAAGAGATGCTCCAGTGAAACAAAGACCAGTTAGGTCAAAGTCATCTCAACGGCCGACATCAAAATCAAAAGCAAGTACTGAGCCACCCATCGGATCGAAAAAGAAATGGGTCAAACCCAACTACAAATGGGTTCCGAAAGCTCAATCTCCCAAATCAACTAATGACTCTAATATTTCTACATCTTCTGTTTGTGATAAACAGGACATGTCATGGGAGAATGTATCTTGCGTATATGACAAATGTCGACCCAATTTCAAAATGGACTGGGTTCCAAAGACCAACTAATCCCGCTCTGTATCGGAGCAGCTATGGAGGCATATCATCATACTTCGGTTTGTTGGTAGTGGCTGTTCCAGGCACATGATAGGGGACATCTCTCAATTGTACAACACTCAAAACATTATTTGAGAGTATGTGTCCTTTGCGGGAATGGAAGAAAGGAAGGGATCACTCATGGGGTTAGTGCTTAATGACATGAAGAATTTTCGGATCTGTTCTGAGATTACACGTGCTGTTCTCAGACCTTCTGGATGCAAATTCAATCGGTGACTTACGGTTTGAGTTTTCTTCTCGATACTCTTGAGTTTTTCTTAAGCTGATTCACTTTAAAGACTAATTTTTGTTTTAGGATAGTTTAAATTTGTGCATTTACTTTCGTTTCTCTCCTATGCACAAATTTAGGGGGAGAAATAAAAACAAAACAAAAATTAGAAAATTAAAAAAAAAAATCCAAAAATATGTTTGGTTATGGAATATGCTTGCATGTGATGTGATGGGAAGTGATATAATCATGTGATAACATGCAATCTGAATCTATGTAAGGGACTGAATCTAAATTGTCTAGGCTCTGTGTTCGATGCGCTGGTAGGCACGAGAGATTAAAATGGACTTGACTAGGCATTAATGAACTTAAGGAATCTAGAGACTTGAAAAATATTGACCTAGATAGATCCATTTAGTCTGACAATACGACGCTTGGATAGGTTGAGCAAGGAGATATACATGATAATCCAACGGTCACACTAAAATAATCCGTATCTAGAACTGTGGTTTAACTCTTCCTCGATGTACGGACTCTGTCCTTAATTCCGGTATTGATGGGGCGACTGGGGAATTCTGATAAAGTAGGTCTGTAGGAAATTATTTTCTTGCTTTCTTTCTGTTAGTCATATGTTGCCTCCTCTGCGTGATTGAAATACATCCAACCTGGACTGCAACATATGCAACTCTATCTCTCTGCATCTTCTATCCATGCAATTCTTTCTATCTGTTAGCCATATACTGTCTCCTTTGCGTGACTTTCAATCTGACCTGGTACACAGTATATGCACCATTCTACTTCTCAATCCCTCTAAATCTGGTTAGTCATATGTTTCACCCTCTGCGAGATTGGAAGAGATCCGACCTGGGTGTATAGCATATGCATTCTAAATCTGACTTCTCTCATAATAATTGTCTGCTCACCTAAAGTAAGGAGTACTTTGGAAGTTCCTGATTATTGGGGTATGTCAGGAAGCGGGAAACACGTTCTAGTACATTTAAAATTGAACAATCACTAGGTTGTCTGTAGATCTCGCTGCTCAATTTAGGTGGACAACAATATCTTTGGTCGTCGTCAGCTGAATGGTCCTTAATTATCTAGGAACTTAGGATCACATTGTCTTGTCACTTATAGTATGTCCTAATTTTGTCACAATCTCTCGTGTTTAAGTGGACCACAATACCGACGATTGACCAGATCTATTCATGAAGGGAGATGTACTGATAAACGGATAAAGGCTGTCTAAAAAATTTGATCCCAATCACTCTTAAAGTTAGATATCTTTTTTATTTTTGTTAAATTTGTTCATAGTTTTCTTCTAATTTAAATATTAGGGGAGAATTAAAAATTTTGAAAACCAAACAAAAATCAAAAAATTAAAAATATTTCTGTTTTATTGTTTTTCAGACAATATGAAAAATCCAAAAAAATATTGTGTGCTAATTTTTCTTTTAGTTTTGTTTTGTCTTGAAAAGTGAATTCAGATGTAGATGAGACTCATGGAAACTGAATCGAAAATTTATGAGCCAAGACTTCATCCGTGAGCATCGAAGAATTCTCATTCGAAGGAGCAAGAAATGAAGATTATTCTTTCAACATTCAATCCTTCAACCCCAGAAGCAAGGTGAAGCTAACTTGAAGATTATGTGACAGATTGCATTGAAGCCTCCTCAATCAATTTGTTGCTATTCTTGAACCTGCTGAAGTGATCCTGAAGATTAGTTCTCTCTGATGTTCTCTCTGAAGATTCTCAAGCTGAAAGCGCTATCTTTCAAGAATCAGTACAAGAAGCCTCCTCACCCAATGTGCGTTCAATGTCAAATTCTGAAGA